CCTGCTGTGATCCCTGCAGGTTGCCTAGGGTTGTCTGCTAGAGTAGGGTCCCAGCTTTACAGCGCCGAAGCCATTCCTCTTCCTGGCCTTAAAATCGCATTTGCTCCAGTTCCACGCCTGGCGTCCATCCTGCAGTGGCTGAAAGCATGTTGTTTCTTCAGCCCGGCCTGATGCTGTGTCTGGTTCCCAGAGCCGGTCCCTTGATCCCATTCGGAGCACCAAAAGCCACCCCATTTTGCATTGGTTTCCTGGGACACAGAGCAGGTTCGAAACCATCTGTGCGGAGCCTGTGTGGTTGGAGGGAGAAGAGGACCCTGCAAGGGCTCTGAGAGATTTTTTTTCTTTTGCTGGTGTTTCATGGAGAGGAAAAATCAGACTTTCTTTTCTTGGGCTTTTCTAAGCCCAGTCTTTATCACTGCCCAGCAGAAGGGGTTTCAGTGACCGGGGAAGTGGCAGCGTGGGATCAGACGAAGTGCAGAAGCAGTCAGTGTTAGCTGGGGATGCCAGGATACCCCAGCAACAGAGAGTAGCTGTAGCAAATGGTGGGAGACTCGATGGAGTTGTGTGGGGTTGGCCTTAGCTTCTTTCAAGTGAAGAGATCATCTCAACATGTAACTTGATGTCAGTTTGATGCCATAAAGCACTTTAAATGGAACTGGTCTTGTCCCTTTTCGTTTTGGTTACATGGAGACAATCAGCTTTGCCATTGCTCCCCCCTCTGCATCCCCAGTAAAATCCGGGCGGCAAGTATGCGTATTCCTGGTTTGGTTTGGCATTACCCTGGGCGGGCAGGAAGGGCCAAGCTTTTTGCAATAGTTTTAGGCCAAAGTGGGTGTGAATCTGACTAGAGCCCCACTGCAGACAGGGTGAGTGGCAGGACCAGAGGAACTGGCTTCTCCTGGCTCAGGTACATCCCCTGGGAGAGCCCATGCCAGCATCACCATCATCTTCCTCCCAGCCGGTACTGCTGCTGGCCGGGAAGCTGTCCCACCGGCAGATTGCCCTCCACCCCCTTTGCCTTGGAGAAACTGAGAGCAAAGGAGGAGTGGGGGGGTGCAGCCGAGTGAGTGAACTGAGGCCCTTTCCGTGCACGAAGTTATTTACTGTCCCAGCCATGGGGAGACCTCCCAGGTGCCAGCCCTGGGGCAGGAGCTCTCACCACCGCTGAGGGTGGGCTCTTCTCTTCACCCTTGAAGTTTGACCACTGCTGAGAAGCACAGTAATGCCGTTAGCTCGTCCTGCCCTCCGAAGGCAAGAGCACCCATAGAGTCCGATCATCTTTGCACCTTCCTTGAGGCACCAGGATATCTCAGAGCCGAAACACCCAAATCCAGCCCTCCTAGATGTCACCATGTCAGAAGAGGTTCATCAGGTGCCAAATCCCAAGGATCCCAAGGCACGGGGCACAGGAGGACTGGGCAAGGGCACGAGACAGTATCTGCTGAAATCCCACAAAACATTCCTTGTTAACCGGAACTCTGGAAATTATTCTGCCTGCTGGCCAGGTTTGGGAATTTAACGTAATTTAAGGCACCCTTCTAAATGAAAAACCTCCCCTGCTGCTCATAACTCTTGCTTCACGTGTCAGAAGGGGCAGCCGTCAGTGATTCTTGATCCGGTGACGCAGCTAAGTTTTAAGGATAGGCGAGCTGAACTGGCTTAACCTCGTACACCTCGTGCTCTTGAGCGATGGGAAGCGTAGCGCGAGCTCCCGTCCCGCCTGCGGTTTCAGGGCTCGGTGCCCTTTCTTTCCACGCACGTTTCCCTGACACTGATGCTTCGCCCAAATATATTCTGCTTCCGTTGCTTGGGGGGAGGGGGAAACAGGAGGACACTCACTGCTTTGCATACAGCTACAAGCTTCAGATGTATTTAAGCTGTCTATAGGTATCCATCCTTTCCACGCTCTAAAGTATTTTTACTATTTTCTTTATTGATATTAAACACTGACTCAAAAAAATCTATGTCCAGTTCGGTTCGCCTATGGTTAAAGTTTAGCCTGCTGTTTATTTTGTACTAATACGGAATGCACTTGAGTAATTCCCAGAGCGTTGAGGAGGTGTATTGTGAGACGTTGATATACCTCTGCTTTTGGTTTGTTTCTTAAAAAAAAAAAGAAAATAAAAATGCTTTGCATTTTCATTTTAAACCCATTAAAAAAAAAAAAAGTTTTAAAAAAAAAGAAGTTGAAAATAAGAATTTTTAAAAAAGAGGGTAAAACCTAATTGCTGTATGTTAATTTGTAATTATGTAAAAAGTGAGCAGGTTATTGACTGTAAAATTCTTCAGTTTTTCTGTAACTTGCCAGAAACCATTAGGTTTTGTAACAGGCTTTTATTTATCTTCCTTTATAGTTATCAGCATCAACCTCTTGTAAAGTCATTTTTCCTCTAAATAAATTTGATTTTAAGTC